CCACCGGAACACTGGTAATATGTTCAAAATAGAAACTATAACATAATATCGGCATCGAAATATATCGGCAGATGCTATAACACTAAAAGCAAAGAAATAATTTAAGAATAATCATTTTCATGAAGGATGGTATTACACAAAAAAACCCCACGTCATTATGAGTCTAAGGCTGATTTGTTGATATATGAAGGCAGTAAACAAAACTTACCGCTTGTGCTTTGTTTTCCGTGCACATTTGTTTCCAACTTCTTTCTATTTTTCTTAGTGGAAACTATATCTTCACTGCTGTCACTATCACTGTCAATAACTGCAGGGCGAATTACTCTATTTTCCAAAATTTGTATTTTTCTTTTATTGCTTGCGATCGTTGATTATATCAAACGCTACGTCAGATCAGTTAGATAGCACAAAACTAAATGGAAGGGCGCGCGCTCTGTGCGGTATCGGGTCGCTAGCTGTCTGTTGGGAGGGCGGGCCGAAATAGGCCCACTGCCGCACTTAGCAGATGTTTTCACCGTCAGTGCGTTGGTAGGTCGATAAAAGCCTGCTTTGATGGGGATCACCTACAATTTTGACCGCAAGATGAAACGCGAATCAGAGACCTATATACATATGTTGAAATAAACACAATTAAATACGTTACTTACTTTGGCACTCAGACAAAGAGTAAAACTTAATCTGTTCCTGACAGCAGGCTTGTAGGCAGAGCCAAGCCGCTGCTTGGCTCAGCAATGCCCCTGGCATTGCTGAAGTCCATGGGCGATGGTAACCACTCACCATCAGGTGGGGTATGCTCGTATGCTCGTCTGCCTACAAGGGCAATAAAAAAAAACATGGATACAAGTCTGAAGTGCGAAACAAAACCTACAACCCTCGGCCCAGCGTTCATGGTTGCTAGCTACTGCATCGCCAATCAGTAGCTTATCATGTAATTCTTAAGACCTTCTCGTACTTAGCTTATTGCATACCCTGGTTAAAAAGCTCATGATCTATCTGGTGTTAAGTATTACGGTAACACCGCCACCCACCGTGACACATGAGATCTAAGTCTAAATTTTGTAGGATATTATATAGATGGTTTGGGGCACAAATAAATAGGTCGGTGGTACTTACCTGATTGAAAATAAATAACCATGTATGTATATGAATTACGAATACCCCAAAAATCACAAATGAGAAATATTTATAGACAATCACGATGTCGATACAACGGTTATATAAAACTAGATGATGACCTGTCTATAAAGCGGTTAGTTCTCCTCAATTAAGAAAAATAGTATTATTATTCGCCAATAGATGTCGGGAAGAGTAGATTATTGAAAACACGAATAAAATAACATTTTCTGAAAATAAATCGTAGCTATATCGATTTATCGCCCCCGAATTCCCCTATATACTAAATTTTATGAAAATCGTTGGAGCCGTTTCCGAGATTCAGATTATATCTATATATATACAAGAATTGCTCGCTTCAAGGTATAAGATGTGAAGGTTCTAATGGTCCTTGATCAGAAACTCGAAGTTCACTTATCGCCTCGTCAAAGGTACATTTACTAGCTAAGTATTAAAGTAGTTCATACGTCCAATAATGTACATCTTTCCTGACGCTGTTAAAACAAAAGTTGTTAAGGAAAGAGCCGATCCGGACTTTGAAGAGCCATCTAATGGACAACTCTATATTAAACGACGCTGTTTTAATTTGGTATAAATGAAATTCCATCTATTTTTATGTTGGGAATTCCTTTGACAATGATTCCGTGTTTAATATTTAGAAGGTCTTTGCGCCATGTGGATTCTCATTCACTGTTGGTATGAATAGCTGTACAATTCTTTGCTGATAGCTGTTTGATGATATTAGTACGTTTGTGTTTTTTTCTTTTATACTTTATAACAAATTCGGTAGTAAAATTAACAAAGTAGGTACCTACAGTTTTTTTCTACGAATATATCTTCAGTTCAGATTTATATGTTCAAAATTATTAGCTGCTGTTTATTAGAGAAGACGAAACACTACTATACTATGTTATTACTTGATGGAGCTCGTGGGTATCACAAGGTGAAAAATAACCGCTACCTGAGAGATGAGGTAGGCGTTTCAATAGTAATCGAGTTCGCTTAGTTTATGTGTCTCCATTCTGATTATATCTGTCCTGAACAGTCATACGATACGTACGTCTATACATTCCAGACAAAAAGGGAGACCGTTCTTATAAAATACCTATGAAACTTAAACCTCATATCTAAAGTTGGCGTGTCTATGTCCTCCTGTAACCTTTTAACATCAGAGTTACTACGAAACCGTTCACTTATCCTCTGCATCAAAACTAAAAAATAAAACCGCATTCAAAACTTTACTTTAAATAACAACAAACGTTTCATTAGCAGATTTCAAAATTAATTAATCGGATTACATCTACACGCTACACACAGAAGTTTATAAGCTACTTACAGCTGCGCCATGAAAGAACGGAATAAGTAATTAATTTTGTCTGAAACTGAGAGCTGTATTAGCAATTAATAACTAAAATGGAAATGTAACTTCAATAGTGTTTTTCAACGGCTTAGACTTACTTTAGACATTATACAATTATCAAAGTCCTTTTAATTAATTCTGTTTAAAGATACGTACATGTTAAATCGTTTTTCTTCTCAATCGTGTCGCTCTTGACAGATTGGTCGTGATCATCATGTAGTGTTGGAGTGGGCAAACTTGGTCCACAAAATTCCAAGAATTTTTTTCCAGCACCACATCGGTTAAATCATCAAACCCTAGTAATTGCGACTTTCGAAATTAGACAGTAAGATTACAAATAATTCGAAAGCCTAGGAGATTATGAACACGGATTGAAACAGCTTTTTAAAAACTTTTGTTAGATACGTTGTGAATAAAAAATTTGATGAAACAAAAAGAGAGGCTAATATGAAGAATGAAACAGAAGTATTCCTCTGAAAGTTTCACTTCTACCACGTGTAAGCTGCGCATACATGTTTATTAATGTTTCTCCGATCATCAATTGAACCTCTTTTTTTTACCACTGGGTAATGCATTAACGGATACCCGGTCGAGGGTGGTAACGGACCGGGCTATGTCGGACTCCGGCGCCTCCTGAGAGGAAAAAGAGGAGAAGAGAAGGACCGAGGTCCTCCACCTTCCCAATTTCTCACAGGAGACTACGCCTTGAAAAGGCACGCGAGGCACTGGCTCCGCAGAACCGACTACCGATTAGACCCCATCGAGCTCCACCACACCGACTACACGAAACATACGGTACCGCAGTGCGCGCCGAAAGTCCCGCCTTTGCCTGTACCCGTACTAATGATAGGACGGGATCTCATCCCCGGGAAAATCCCGAAGGACGTCGTCTCATCATAAGCTGAACCTAAGGACAGAAAGTATACAAAACCAATCGTTGTTGTATATATACGTTCCGGGACTACACGGAGTCAACAAAATGAGAGCTCACTTGTAACCAGTGATCGGATTAACTCATTTTCAATTGCTTATTTTGTTAAAACACGCATCGCGTAGTTAGACAAAGCGAATGATTATATTACGAACGACGCAGAATATTGGCGTTCTGCCAATTATCTACGTGCAAAATGAACCGCGTTACTGGAAACCTAACCGGTCATAATATTGTATTATGGAAATTCGGAAAATTTCACCGTAATCACAAATGAATCTCACTTGAATATTGGGGACTTTGGGCAAAACGGCGTTAAACTTAATTCGTATAGTACAAAAGCTGTTTTAATGAGTGCTCATTAATATATTATGCCTATTGGAAAATTCGTGAGAATTTAACTGTTGGCCGTTTCACGTCGACGTACTGTTGTTAAAACCACTAATTGGTGTTTGTCGGTCTGTACACTTTGCTGGTAACACACAGACTACTATAGTGGAACGAAGTTATCAACTTTTGCTTTCATGTCGTCCCACTGTAAATGGCTGAATTAATATAATTTCAGCCGTCCCCCGTTGAGCAACTCCCAGCACTTAAACAAAAGCTCAATAAACTACACTTTTAGTGCGAGCAAATAACGTTTTAATGTTATTACGTACTGGAAACGGGAAACTCTTAAGTGTTCCCGTATGTTAATGGTGATGTGAGGTTCAGCGAATTTTATTGCTTTCAAATCAAATTCTTCGTTTATTTTTACGCTAAATCATTATTTAATTAGCTGTTTTATATTTTAGTTGTATCTATATACACGACCAACCCATTTTCCGAGAATCATTCCAGAGAGTTTGTTCATTGACATTATTTTAATTGGACTGTTGTTTTTAATCGGTAGGTCGGTCGCGTGCCGGAAACGTGACAAATTTCCATTAAGAAAAACGAGTGGGATATACAAAAATAAACAAATGTTCGTGAATTTTGAATTCATTATTTTATCATAAGATTTTTTTGCGAGGTAGAATATAAAATTATGAGCGCCAGCGTGCGGTGGAGCGAGTTCTCATTTTTGCCGCGATGAGTACCCGTCAACAAATTGTCGTTAAACTCAATTTGGCTGGTTCAAATTCGATAAACGATGTCTACCGTATCTCCGTCTGAATGTTGACACCTTGATATTTGCGAGATATTTTCATGTGATTTCATGTATTTTCATGTGAACCTAAAAATTTTGTAAACACAATTTCTTTCATGCCTTTTCTGTTTTGTTTTGGTGTATGACGTTCTTTGAGAGTAAATAGTGCCTTTTTATCATTGCCATGACCCGTAAAAATGCTTACTCTGAACTTAGAGAACACAAATACTATGGCATATAATATTAGGGCACATGTTTATTTATCCCTGCGCACAGTAAGGATAAATGTATCGAATATCGTTTTATTAACGAAATATTATTATAGTATAGTCATTAAAAATAATTGGATTTACCAAAAAAAAAAAATTAACACAAGTGTTGTGCGAGAGACAACACCTTGATTTCATTACTTTAAGAAAACCTCCGTTAAATTGCGCTTCTAGCGTATTCGGTTTAGTGAGTTGACGATGGGACCAAGAAAATTAGACGCGGGAGCATTGAGGAGATTCGGCCCCGTACCTGAAACAAAAGGTCAGGTTCCTCGAAACATTGACGTTGTAATTATACTAACTACTATACTACTACTATATATAACTAACGTTGTAACTATACTTGAGACCTTAGAACTTATATCTCAAGGTGGGTGGCGCATTTTACGTTGTAGATGTTTATGGGTTCCAGTAACCACTTAACACCAGGTGGGCTGTGAACTCGTCCACCTATCTAAAAAAAATAAAAAAAACATACTAGGGACTGTGTAACGGACGCCGCATAGCCCGTTAATTGCAACAGCCGAAGATAGAACATCGCCAGTTTGCCAATATTTCTTTTTGGAGCAGTCTCGACAGGGTTAAAAGATTGCGTATCGACCGCTGGATAAGCTTAAGTTCGGGTTCAGCTCCTGCGTAATGTCCCACAACCCTAGTAGTCATCCGGAATTTATAGTAATTGCCGGTGCCTATTAACCACAACGCGACGCTACCTCACCTTCGTATAATCAATACTCATCCACCTAACAGAAATACACGGCTGGTTTGCTGTAGGTAGATATAGATTAAATATACAAATGTATGTACAGCATTTTTATTTAGGCACTAAAGTTGTTTGTTACATTTAACTTAAGTACATTATTTGTTCCAGAATGTCCTCCGGAACTGTGCGGCGAATCGACACATCCAATAGTTTCGGCTCCGGTTACAAGTAAGTGTAATTCTAATAAAATTTCTGGTTGTAAAGCACAGGAATCCACACCAGTACATGCAACGGTCCTGCCTATTTTTGCCACAAAGAAGTTATTCAGTTGTGAATTTTGGACAGCCAAATGCAGATTAAAATGAAAACTTCGATCTCGTGTGTCAAACTGGGTAGGGTTGTATTTATATTATGAAGTCTATTGGCTCAAATAAACTCTTACTCTAACCACTGGATAACTATTTATGTGCAAAATTTACGCGCATTGTTAGTGAATGTTGTATTTTGTATAAAGAAAACGAATGAATTGAACTCGTCCAAGGAGAGGTTGGTTTGTGTTAGTCAATTTGTTTTCATAAACAAAAATGAAAAAGCAAAATAATATTTAAATTTTATTTTAAAATCAACTATTATATATTTGTGTATAATATAATATAATATTATCAAAATGTTAAATTTATATGATATAATAACTGTGATAGAATTAGACGCGACTGATTTTTTTTAGTCACAGCACTACAAAAATAAGAATGTGAATACAATAAAGCAAAGACTGGATCTTAGGTACGCGAACAGATTCTAGATTGCCACAAATATAGATTTGGTACATATGGACAGACAGCTAGTAGTAAAATATTATAATTAATAATTCTCAATAGGTAACCGACGAAGACGAGGATTTCAACGAATTTATTGTAAGTACGAGTATTAACGTTGTTGTCCTATGTCAGCAAACCTCGCACAATTCTGTAAATGTCTTTGATAATATATCTATATATCTTGTAGCCCTTTCTAGTCGTTTTCTAATATAGGCCCCTGAATTGCTTTTCTGTCTTTTATAAGAACACTTTAAATATACCAACACTACCACCATCTAATTAAAAATAGATATTGCCATTGTTCCAGTTGTTATTTAATCCAACTACTATCGCGGGTCTAAGTCTGGTCAGAGTACGTAGTTATTTAGGGCACTAGACACAAGTTGACATTTCTAATATGGGGCTGCTCTTTAGGTTGCACACACACACACACACTTACATATATATATAGTTGTGTGTTTTTATTTTCCATAACGGAAAGAATGGAATGAAGGAATTCTTATTCTTCGCCCAAGAGCTCTCGCACTTACCATTGATATGTCTGTGGTAGTAAACGTCATCATAATCATCATCATCTCATCATTCTCCTGCCCATCAGTCACCTGAGGTCGGCGCAACATGTTTTCTCCTTCCATACTCCTCCATAATTTCTTTGCTCATTGCTCTCTTAGACATATCATCATCATCATCAGCCTTTATCTGCCCACTGCTGGACATAGGTCTTCCCCAATGCCTTCCACAGAATGCGGTCCTCCGCCTTCCGCATCCATCGTCTTTCGCAAAATCCATCATTTTTTCTTAAGTCTCTTTCTTAATTTTTTTATTTTCTCTTCTTAGTTTCTTTTCTTAGAATAAACGTGTGTACATGAAATTTTCATTCATTATATCTCCACTCTAAGTGTTCCGTCTACACGTGGAAACTTAGAGAGCCTAGTTAAACTAAAAACTTTTGCCTCACATTAGTGATTCTCTTAATGAACTTCGGCTGTTGGAAACTTTGAAACAGAGATATGAGTTCGATAGGCAGGCGGTAAGTGAATATATAGTGTTGCTGATAGTGAATGGTCATTGTCGCTCATAGACATCAACTAGGCTGAGTTTGCAGACAAGCAGCTCTCCAAAACTGGGTACTATTATATTTTCGAGCCTTATTCGAATAATGACTTCGTTTTGTTATTTTAATTTTTTCAGCCTGAATAACTAATAGTCTATCTCGTTTTAATTACTTTGTCTTAGCCCTGTACTTGTTATAAAGTTTATTTACTAAATGCGTAACTCCCTAATTAATTAATATGAACAACAAACCCCAATTCTACGTATTACTCGTGCAAATTCCATATCTGTCAGACATAAAGCAATCTGACTGCAATAATGGCCAGACATTCACGGGTTAACACGGCTTGATTAAGCTGAATGCAGAATTTCCGGCCTGTGATTGGAAACGATGTGTTAACAAGATTCCGTTACAATTTACCTCAGATAAGTACCATTGAATGTCATCAAATTTGGTAATTAATTTTGATGAGAGCCTTTCAAATACTGTTAATAGAAAATGTTGCGTTGGTGATAGGATTTTATTTTGTGAAAGGAGACATGGTGGCCTGAAGGCCTCTTGGTAAGGACGGGCTAAGCCAAGACGGGTGAGGTTTGCAAACAGCTGTCCGAGCGCCTCCGAAGAAGACCAGACTGTTTGACGACAGCTGCTTCGCTAATGCATCTCCTACCGCATCGGAATAGCAACCCACTGAGAAGGTCCGGCGAGAAACCCGGGGGAGTAAGAATCGGAATCGTTGATATTCTGGGCCGGAATCATGTCGAATTATTTTTGAATAAAGCGACTTGTAATATCTGATCTCAACGTTAGAGCTAGAAGCATCTAACAATAGTGTGAATGGATTGGGTCGATTCACAAGGATTAAGAGCGTCGACGATAACTGGCCCCAGCATGAGCCGAATCAAAGAGGTAATTAGCGGTGGCCACGATAAGAGGGTTGTCATGCAGTATTTCAGTATCGAAGTAGCGTTCCGACGCTGGCTTCAGATCTTTCCTGATAGATTCGACACCCCAATCGTCGTGAATATCAACATTCCTCACAAATTACGGCCTGTCGATCACTATCCTGCTACGAGACTGAAGTGATTGAAGGGAGTTGACGGGGATGCGGGTCGCGTGAGCGAACCGATTCGCATAGGTCATAATGGAACTAGTGGGTTTTTTGTAGAGTTAAGTAAGTTGCCCGAAGTTTGAAGCTTGTATTACGCTGAAAGTACAATGGGGTACTTGAATATAACTATAATATTATAGTGTACTAAGACTTGTGGTATGTCATCGCCGTCCACGAGGATATTTTTTTTAAAGAGACAACTGTATAATTTCATTTATTTTTCATTGAGAGTCGAAGTGAAATAATCACGCGCTTTTTATCAGACTTGTGTAAAATTAAAAGAAAGCAAATCTTAAAATTTAAAGAAAAAAGATGTGTGGTGTCGTGGGACACCGGATAGGAACGAAGTTCCCAATTATAAAAATATTAATTTAAAGTTCTATTCGAGGTATGAAGAAAGAAAGAGAGAGAGAGACAGACAGACAGACAGAGAAACATGCGACGCCGCACAGCTTACAATAGCTTACTATAGCAAAAAGTGTCGTGACAACTTTTCGTAAGAATTTTTTCCGTCTAGCCCCCTTTCACAACGCGCGATAAGGAACTTCGTTCCAAAAGTGTCGTGACAACTTTTCGTAAGAATTTATAGCAAAAAGTGTCGTGACAACTTTTCGTAAGAATTTTTTCCGTCTAGCCCCCTTTCACAACGCGCGATAAGGAACTTCGTTCCAAAAAAAATGCCGACTGCGTTACTTACTGCACACAAGTCTCCTTATCTGATCAAGCCGACATCACATGTCAATAACACGACTGAGTTGAGTTACTGTTTCATGTTAAATTAATTTCCCGTGTTCTTTATGCTACGTAGCAACCGTGCGTTCTAATTCCAAATGATAGATAGAACTTTGATCTTGTATCACGAGATGAGTAGCGGCATTCACAAACCATGATGTCATCTGGACATTTACGTTGATAAAAAAATACAATCGTCTTTCAATTCGAAATCGATTCTATTCGATTTTACCCACAGTATTTTACTAATGTGCCGATTTTAAAATAGTGTTACTAGCTAATTGTTTAATGAGAGTATCACTTTTTCCAATATTATTTCTGATTTCGCCGAGCAATGAAAGATCGGTCGGTGACTAAAGCATTTTTTGTGTACGTACAAAGGTCAACACTATTGTTTATATATACAAAATCATGTACATATTACAAACTATATCTCATTATCTGTTACACTTGCGTTAAAATGTAAACAAATCCGAAGAAAATTGTTAAATTCGGTTTTTAAATTAAACATATTTATGCTTTTTGCGTCGTTTGCTGGCACACTTCTGTTACAATTGCTTAATAGCGTAAAATGTATATACATATATTATCTTGTATTTCAAATAATAATTCAAAAATATCTCACTCTGGCCATCAGAGTAGCAAACGAAATCTAGTAGACGCTTATCATTGGCGTGGTTTTGTATAATTCTCGACTACGATATGCGATTTTATCACCATCCGGAGGTTTGATCGCAGGATCATAATAATTTTTCTTACATGATCGTATCTTTTCTCGCTTCAAGCTATTTCGACTTATTATTATTAGTAGCATAGTAAATAATTACATAAATTCACAATGTAATGACTACAGCAATAAGAGAAATATGAAATCAAGCTCACTGGCTCTAGATATGAATATTAATAATTTAATAACATTTTCATTTTCAAGATTATATGATTTTCTCGAATTTCCTCACGAGTTGTAATATAAATTTCCTGTCTAATTTCTAAAAGGAAAAATAAGTATTATATTTAAAGAATAGAAGTTGCCGCCTTCAGAATTTTCCTTTAGTTTAATGTTGAAGGAATTAATTACTTTAATCTAAAAAATGTACGAAGCTATTCAGTTTCTCCGAATTAGATACTGGATGTGAAGTATTTCATAGAGGCCTATTTGAGAAGAAAATAATTTTACGGCGTTCCTTTAATCATTGTTTGTAGCTAATCTTTGAACTGTGTTTTACAAAGCTTTGAGCTCGTTTAAGCCTAATTCATTTCGTTTACCTGCTAAAAGTTTTATTTAAGATTAATAAGAACCGTTCTTTTTTTTTTGCTTAATTGGGTAGACGAGCTCACAGATCACCTGGTGTTAAGCGGCTACCATAGCTAATAGACATCTAAAACGCAAACGCAAGTTCTAAAGTCTCAGTATTTACAGTACAACTGTTTTCAAACCGAAACGCATTACTGCTTCACGTCAAAAATAAGCAGGGTAAATTATTTTTTCACCGTGGACGTCAATCGTAAACATTTGTTAAGTACGTAATTTATTAGTAAAATTGGTACCCAGGATCAATCAGGATTTGAGCCCCGGCACAGTCGCATCGCTTGATACAATAGAACTGGGCATCTTATCCTTTAGCCCACGATGACTTCTACGACTACTTCGTTCACGACTATTTCGTTCTAGCATGTCTTTGTAAACATAGGCCCACTTCATGGTAAGTTTTCACTGCGGCTTATAGACATCAGCAATACCACGAGTACAGCCTAGCTGCTCTGTACCGCCGAAAACTCTCCCTAAACCACATTTGATAAAGAACATGTCCTAGCGTAATGGAAACACCATAGAGAGATGCTCATTTAAGAACCGGATGATGCGTAGAAAAAAATATTGTAGGATTACCTACAATCTTTAATGGATGAATATTAATGGATGAACTCTGCTTTGATGGTGGATGGTGCGATGGTAAAAAAGCGACGACGACACCATTTCAAACAGTTTCACATTGCACTTCTCATGGAAAATACGGGACGAAACACAGAGAGAAACGAAGACCCTCCATTAATGAGGACGCGGATATCGACAAGGACTGCATCTGTATGGAATAAAATGGAATTAACTGGTGTTTACGAGTCCTGGCCTAAATGGGAACAGTATTTAAAGTGAACTCAAACACGGTTATGTCAGGCATAAGTCTTTCTCCAAGCTTAAACTATTTCATGGCTTTGTTGAGGACTCCAACAACGTTGCGACCATTCCGGGTTGACCTACCTCGAAACTTCGACCCGAAAAAGCTCAATAATATCGGAAACTGGCAGGGATACTTATTGGAATTACGGCGCCGTGATAAAAGGTTTATTCTTTGCAGTGAACGCGCAAACTTGGATCCTGAAGAGATTAAATTGAACTAAACTCAATTCACCATATTTGGAGACCGAGAAAGTTACAATTAGTAAGTTGTAACGATGTACTTACGATGTGTACCAAGCTATAAATTAATTGTATAATTTAATGAATTACATAGCTGCCATCCAAAAATTATCATTAAAATTTTCAAATTAATCCTTTTTGGCGCAATATTCCATTGAATAAGTTCCTTCGAAGGAATTTCCTGATACATCTTTCAAACTACTATCATGGGTTACAAAAGAGTCTTAAATGGTGGGCAGTGACTTAAACTTTCGGTTTTATTTTTGGTAAACCAATAGGAAAAAAGTCAGTTTGCTCATAAGCCACAGTTTTACCTGGAGACTATTGTTACAATTCACATACATGTCAATCACTATAACCGTAGCTATAACTGTAACTATACTTGAGACCTTAGAAATTATATCTCAGGGTGGGTGGCGCATTTACGTTGTGGATGTTTATGGGCTCCACTAACCACTTAACACCAGGTGGGCTGTGAGCTCGTCCACCCATCTAAGCAATAAAAAAAATATTTACTTCAAGTTACGAAAAAACATTGTTCACACTCAAAATTATGTGTGTACCTAATTGCTTAGTTGAGATGATTATGAAAAATGCACTTTTTAATTTTTAACTACCTATACGCTGGAAAATAGTGAAAATCAATTTCACATTGTGATTTGAGAATATTCCGATAGCCAATTAACGCTAAATTTGCCGTGAGCTCATTCACTAACCTAGTGCAATAAATAAAGCTACCCTAATAAACAATAATAAAAAAATTAGGTTATGGTGGGATTCGTTAGTTTTACTATAACCATAAATAGGGTGACGTATTAATATAGGTACGTATCTAGCTTAACTAAAATAATTTTATTAAAAATTGGGTACGTAATAAAATAACTGTATATTGATCAATGAAGAAAACGATGATAATATAACATTAACTCTATCGCCGCTGAGTATATTGTACATATTATGCACGCATGTACATTCGTAGCAAATGCGCGCTAATAGATTCTCTGTAATCTGTGACTACCAAATGTGCAAGCTTTTAGCAAAATGCGACGGGATTAATTGGAAATAGTTGAATGTGATTTACGGCCACGTTTTGTAAGCAGACGACATATCATATCATACTGATGGTGAGTGGTTATCGTCGCTCATAGACGTCACCAATGCCAGAGGCACAATCAAGTCGCTGCCTACTGTGTTGCTCTCAAACAAAGATCAATGAAAAAAAATCTGAAAAAAAATGTACACCTACACGTTGACTTCTAATAAGTTATGTATTTGCATGTACATATAATTTTAATTACAATAGGTAGTTATTTTCTGTCAATTACATGTCTTCACTTACATTTCCTAACATTGACAGCGTAAATTACATAGTAAAAACACGGAATTCATTAAATTATGTTAAAATTAATTTCTTATCAAAGTTTTTATTTTGATGTCTTTTATAAATTCAATTAATACACATAAAATTGACATACTTTTTTTTCGTCGAAGCCTTTCTTTGATGATATTTCGGTGGTGATAGTTCAGAATATAATTGAAACAGCAAGCTTGAATAAATCTAATTTGTCGGTTTCGAACAACAAAACCAGACCTCGGTTTAAACTTCGCAATAAAAACGTGTTGTCTAGTTATGAACGAACTTTCACGCCAATAAATAATTGCTTTCCCGGCGGCGTTTTGCGTTTTCCATCCGATCAAATTGAACCGGATGTTTCAGTAAAATTTCTATAAGGATTTAAGCAAACTATTTTCTATTTACATTTATTATGTTTTTGATACCGTTCAACATAAACTGTACGTATTTTGTAAGCGAAATATATTTTTTTGTGTGACCATACTTACAGTTTTCTTGGACTGATTTCACAGTAATGATGATATAGTTCCACAAAAATCGTTCATATATTCATCGCACGATATGGGAGTACTAAGTAATTAATGCTGTTCAATTTTCATATTTATTAGTGTTCACTGGTGTGACTGTAATAGTACAGTGCTTCAAACAGTTCACGTTCTGTAATTACTCAGAGTATATCGATCGAATGCTTTAAATATATCATCGGTAATAGCGTTCCGGTCACCGTCCTCGTCGAACCCGTCGCTTGCGACGAAGGGCTTGACGAGCGAATTGACACACAGACACAGCCCACTGAGTTTCCCGCCGGATCTTCTCAGTGGGTCGCATTTCCGATCCGGTGGTCGATTCTGCGAAGCACTGCTCTTGCTATGGCCAGTGTTAGCAACACTCCGGTTTGAGCCCCGTGAGCTCACCTACACGTTAGGGCGAAGCTGATGTACAACCTATGCTGATGCCTCTCAAGGCTATCAGCATAGGTTGGAAAAAAAAAGGTATTAGCGTAGTAGTTAACGCTACTGACCGCTAGGATTCGGGTCCGGTTCTGATTTCGAGCAAACGCTCCTGTGACAAATGTTTGTTTGCTCTGTGTCTGGGTGCTTAATATCTACAAATGTACATAAGTACGCATAACGACCTCGAGCTCCTAATATAGGAAATTTTGGCTTAGAGCCCATAGTCGTGTGTGACTTGTTCGAGATTATTTATTTTTCGATATTTTTATTTTTTATGTTTTTTATTGCTTAGGTGGGTGGACGTGCTCAAGGCCCACCTTGCGTTAAGTGGTTACCGAAGCCCATAGACATCTACAACGTATATGCCGCCACCTACCTTGAGATATAAGTTCTAAGGTATTTTTGTGATTTGTAGTCACTTACGTCGGCCAGTGGCACATAAGTCGCAGAAAACAAATTTTCATTTTTTAAATGTTTGAATGTAAATCAAAATTAACCTAATTGACTTAATGTAATACATACATGTTTATGTAATCTATATACGCTATTTCTAATTTGTTTACAGTAAAATATTTAAGATATTATGTGGGTGTTTAAATTTATTTCCCGTTACCTACTTTAAGTATGCGAAGAGAATAACAAAGCTTTAAAATCTTAATAGAAAGCTTTAAAATAACTTAACTTTAAAATATAGCAATGTATTTTTCATGGCCTATTGTGAATACGAAAACCTAATTCAAATACACAATGTAAAAGCTGCGAGACTGTAACGTTTTACAAAGAAAAATGTTGGTGGCCCGAATATTTTTCGAATTCACGTAATCCTCGGCTAGACTTCTAGGCTCCGATTGGCTAGAAAATATTTTTCGTCTCATTCAAAAGAATTCTTGTATGAAACTAAAGCTACAAACGTTTACGCTAAAACACAAAACATAGTCCAGACAAACATGACTCAGCAACGATTTATTGGTCCCGTTAATTTATACGGAGCAGCCAAGTTTGTTGTTTTTGATCGAAAAGCAATCTGCTCGACATTGGTGTATTAATTAATATTCTGCGATAGGATATTTTAGCCGGTAGTTATTTCGTCTTTTAGAGCTGTCCTTAAATGCAAGCTTATCTTTTTAAAATGCTAAATCTTATCTGTTTCTTGTCTGTTTAAAATTTAAAATACCGAAAACCGAGAATACATTTTTGTTTCTATTGCTCCTATCGTGACTACACGCCCAGTAGGTGCAAAATTTATTACATTTTTCTGAATCTTAAAACATATTCAACAAGAGCCGCCCGTAAATATTGCTAATCCCAACAGGAGTTCAAGAAAAATACCACGTTTAGGCAATTAATTAAATGAAAATGTATGCACGGAATATATAGCTTTGGAAAACTTTCAGTCATTTTTCATTGGTACCCGCAGGCGAGGAGAGCGACACCGCTGAAAATGAAGGTCGGATTTCGTCGGAAAGTTCCCCGATGCGGCAGAGAAGGGGTGGCATTTTGAAGGGTGGCAAGCTGTGGAAGTCCCTGGACACCGACAGGGACCCTAATGAACAGGTAATTGTAAATTAATTGTTAAAGTGATCAGTTGTTAATGTATGGCGATTAACATTGCACCGTTTGCGTCACGGTCCGAACTACTGCAGTTGCATATTAATTGATTAACTTAAGAAGAAGAATACACGGGGTCATTCATAGAAAATTTTCAGATCAAAACATTTAGTTTCAAAAGTTTAGCTTAAACTTAATGGCTTAAAATTTTCATTTGATTTATAACAATATTAATAATAGCCATATAATTGTTAGCCTTCATATTGATAATTGATCTTTTATTAACTTTGTTTTGTGATTTTTTGATTGATTTGCTTGATTTCATCATAAATGTCTAATAGTTCTTGTTAAAACTACCCTCAGAGCTGTTTACACACTACAACTATTAACATAAGCTATATCTTTTATTAACGATTAATACATTATTTCTTTTACGGAATTCCGTATAGTGTAATGAAAATTAATCTATCTTCTATCTATATATATAAAAATGAATTGCTGTTAGTTAGCCTCACTCAAACTCGAGAAAGGCTGGACCGATTTACCTAATTTTGGTCTTGAATTGTTTGTGGAAGTCCAGAGAAGGTTCAAAAGGTTAGATAAATATGAAAATGCTCGGAATTAAATGAAAATAACAATTTTGTTTTCCCTTTGATGTGTCCCCCATCGGACGGATTCCTTTTGTTTATTTTATACAAAAGTTTAGGTCTTTTATTTATCGATTGAGGCATCTGTCGGGTCAGCTAGTATCAGAAAAAAAATAGTATTGTGTTGCAACGAGCCCACTGTTTAACGAATCTGCGTTCGGTTGGGAAGTTAGTTGTTTCGCCGTCCAATAAAGATGAATGATGCATTGTCCAACAGGAATACGTTTCTAGAAAAAAATAGAGATTCATTTAATACGTTTCAAATAATAGAATGAAGGCTTAGTACTGTCTCGTTTTTACCATCGCACCGCCCGCCACCGGAGGAGAGTCCATCCATACTACCTGGAGCCACTGCGGTCATCCACAGTGCGTTTCCAGAGATCTTTTTTGCCACGTACCATCCGGCTATGGAATGAGCTCCCCTCCACGGTGTTTCCCGAGCGCTATGACATGTCCTTCTTCAAACGAGGCTTGTGGAGAGTATTAAGCGGTAGGCAGCGGCTTGGCTCTGCCCTTGGCATTGCTGAAGTCCATGGGNACCTGGAGCCACTGCGGTCATCCACAGTGCGTTTCCAGAGATCTTTTTTGCCACGTACCATCCGGCTATGGAATGAGCTCCCCTCCACGGTGTTTCCCGAGCGCTATGACATGTCCTTCTTCAAACGAGGCTTGTGGAGAGTATTAAGCGGTAGGCAGCGGCTTGGCTCTGCCCTTGGCATTGCTGAAGTCCATGGGCGACAGTAACCACTCACCATCAGGTGGGCCGTATGCTCGTCTGCCTACAAAGGCAATAAAAAAAAAAAAAAAACATATAACTTGAGATGTATTGTAAGTGGTTTGAAGTGAAGCATATTTATGATCATGCAGTGCCTTGCCGATTACGGTAACGTCAACCTAATTCTACTGTCAAATGATTTTTCTTGGTGTCTTCATGTGACTAAAATATAAAATTTTAGCTCTAAACGTTTAGATAAGTTGTTTATTTTGATGGCGTTCTTTACACACACTTATAGGTTATATAAGGCGGCAATTTCTGGTTGGTAGGTATCCAGTTTTATATCACAATTCCCTTTGCCTTCACACATATCTTGTGCACTAGCCGTCTTCGGTCCAAGCAATTGGCATCTCGTGATTCCTAAATAAAAGGCTCAAAAACTTATCCCTTCATATGCCTCCGTAGAGCATCCCTAGATCTCAAATATCAACCATAATTGGGTCTATATTATATTTTTTAGTCGCAACTAAAGCTCGTTAGTTGAAGAAACGCGCCAGTTGGAATTTCGTTAGACATAATTAATTACATTGGTAATATGGAGTGGCGCTTCGTAATTTATGGACTGCTACGTTGAATTTTAAAAGTTAGGCAAACATCACTTCATGAAAATCGATATAAATACTGTTGATATCTAAAAGCATACTGCTTAGTTTTATTAAGCCCCAAGAAATCCGCTGCTGCACCCTAATTCCACCTCCCCCGTGTTTTCTATAGTCAAAGATCGCATTCTACATCCATAATACTCCAGCAACTAAAACTATTATTCATTAGAGCAATTTTATAATTCAAAAAACTCAAACACGTTTGATTTTCCAGTAATAAATAATTGAATATGTCACTCATCGGCTTATACACTATCGTTCGATTCTTAAATCCGTTGGTAAGCAAAACCACGAAGCAACGAAGTCTCTGTCGCATTTATATTAGTAAATAAAATGTAGCCTAGTGTGAACTAGTGGAATTGTGAAGTTATTTATAAACTGGATTCCATCCAAATTTATTTTTAATCATTTCGGCGTTATTAAACCAGCATGAACCATTCAAACATGTAAACGTTCAAATTTATGTTATTAGTAAAGATTATTATGTGCTATCATCCCCAGTTTACAACTGAAAGTATATCGTATCCAATGGTCCATAACACCTAAATGAAGAAAGCTAAATGAAGGTTGTTGGTCATGTCTCCTGTTATTGGCAAATATGATCAAGTTAGCTTTCTTCGATTGTACTTTACTTATATGATTTCTTTTTCGTTCGAGTTTCATAAAAAAAAATTATCTCCTGTACCATTTTCCTGAGATAGTATCAAATAACGCAGGAGAGAATAGAAATACACATTATTAATCTATTTAATATTGATAAAATTACGTGACAGACGGACGACCAAAGATCTACGACGGCGAGTGACGAGGACGGCTCCGCCAACCCTCGCTCCGTGAGATTCGTCGAGAGGCCCAAGGACCGATCCGAAGAAGAGCCGCCTGTCAAAATCGAGTCCGAACCCCATCATTCATCGGACACCGAACTTCTCCCAAAGGAATACAATACGACTTCTGGAAACAGGTTATTTCATAAGCATTGTGTAATGTTTTTGTTTGCATATAAAATCATTAAATAAACAAAATTATATATTCTAACCGATCAGTTAGTATACTAGTCAAACGTCGAGGAACCACACCATATTCGTTTGCGACCAGGAAAACTGTTATAGTATTCGAAACGTCGTCAATAATATATTCCTAATAAAAATAGCGAGATTAAATGGTAAAAGTAGTAATGACAGCGACCGAATGTGAACTAACGAAAACCGAATAAAATACCGAATTTGATACATATCGATGCCTCCAATGAACACTACTCTATCTCAAAATTTTGAAATTTTCGTTTTTCACGCAAATCGCTTCACTATTTTAAAAGTATTACAAATCATTATTGATGGGATCCGAAGCAATAATAAAGATTTTATCAACTGTTTCGTTTAAACACTACTCCTGTAAACCTACGAATTTGGAGTTAGCGTAGTGTTAGTTCATTGGAGGCATCGATACAGAAACGAAAACTTTACACATTACTCAAAATTCAATCCATTAGGGTTTTGGTTGAAAAATTGGTAGAATTTGGTAGAATTTGTAGAAATTGGTAGAAAAAAAGCACTAAGCAGTTCTAGAAGAAACAGGCCAGCATTGCCAGGTACTGAAAGTTTCTAAAATAGTAAAACGTTAAGTGGTTGTTATACATATTATTATCTATCCAGCCGTAACAACGCATCGTATTTAACTACCTAGCGCACGATAAGTACATTTGATTAATTATGATGAGCTCAGCAAATGAATATTATTTTCCGTGTACGTGGAGGTAATATATAATTTTAATTAGTTTTGGCGTTGAGAACGTTTATGTAATATTCTGTATATGATCGTAACCGCTTAATTGTTGTGCCTCAAACTCGTCTTATAACTTTATTACGATATTTATGCTGGAGTTGAAATTCTGCGGGGAGGTTTTTTTTTCAAAGCAATCACGTACCTTATTTTTTTTTTTTTTTTTTTGTATCGATGGGGAATCCTAGTCTTTACGGATACCCTGCCGACGGGGGTCGGACCGGGTTATGTCGGACTCCGCGCCTCCGGTGGAAGAAAGACGAAGAAGTCGCGAACCGAGGTCCGCGCCCTCAACCAATTGGTCCACGGAGACTACGCCTTTAGAAAGGCGCGCTGGGCTAAGTTCAGCTCTCGCCAAACCCGCCCAGCTTAACGACTACCGACTAAACCCCAACGAGCTCCTCCACTCCGGCTGGGCGGGGACCCAGGTACCGCCATGTGCGCGCCATAGGCCCGCCTTCGCCGGCTCCCACCCCAATGTTACGTTGGGCGGGATCTGCCACCGGGGACTTCTTCCCCCTCTCATCTCCACGACTCGTGAGGGGCGCACCGGAGCCACAGCGCACCACCACCCCACAGGACCTTAGTGCCGAGCACCGGGCGCCCCCGCACCCAGCAATCGACGGCCCCTGCAGGAGCCGGGTGGGGGCTTTCTGCCCGCACCACCCGCTCCGCCTTCACTGCCTACGAACCGAGGTCCACGACCTCCTCCTCACGACTTCCTCCTCGGTTCATCGGCATGCCCGGTTCTTCATAAAGCCCCGGTCTTCCTTGTGCCCGACGGAGGCTGGACGTCCATCGGAGTCGTCGTCTCGCCGAGTTGACTTCGGTCTGCAGCAACGGGTGCGGCCGCGGGTGCAGCGACGTCCTCTCTCCTCGGTTTTCTCGGGGGCCTTGCACAGGCCTTGCCCCCCGAAGTGTGGTCCGCTGGTTTCCCGGCGGAGGCGCAGACGGCGCATCGCGGTGCCAGTGTGCATCCGGATGCCACGTGGCCGGTCTGTCCGCACCGGTAGCAGTCGTGGCTGCGGTCGACCGACGACGGGCACCGCGCACCCACATGGCCCAACGCGTGGCAGCGGAAGCATTGTAGCCTCCGGGCCTCCAGCAGGTGGACGCGAACAACGCTCCACCCGATGCGCAGCTTCGTCACTGTAACAATCTTCTTCGCCGCTGCTATCGGGCAACGAACGAGAACCTGGCCCATTCTTCCGGATCCGGGCTTGATAGAGCCAGCCTTGACTGCATCGACGGAGCATTCGCCGATGCGCGCAAGCTCGGTGCATATCTCCTCCTCCGTCAGCGAATCCTCAAGTCAGCTTATGCGGATTGCAGCGGTCACCATCGGTCTTGTCACCGTTACTCTCTTGGAAGAGAGAACCTCCTTGAGCTTCTCGGCCAGCAAGTCGGCCTTCGCGATCTGGTCCTCGCCGCTCACTATGAGTATTTTGGCTCCGGTTATTGCTGACCGGACCTTCTCGATGGGGATCCCTAAGGCTCCGGCGTCGATGCTGGCCCTCGCCTCGGCGAGCACCTCCCGGTAGGAGAGCCCCTTTTCGATGGCCTCCGGGTGCAGCCTCAGAATAACGGCCTGCGAGCGCGGAGTTCGAAGTCTCTTCTTTCTACCTTTCTTCTTAGGCTTGAGCGGGGCAGGGTTTCTGTCTCGTTGGCCTTCCGCGTTGGTCGTCGGTGCTGGCTCCTTTTCCCTTCTCGGCCGTGCTCCTCTACGCGCAACGGTCGCCCAACTGACCGTAAGGGCAGCGGGGGCCGGAGGGAATGCGCGCGGCTCGGGTGGAGCTGGCGGCTCGGGTGGAGCTGACGGCGTCGTCTTCTTGTTATTGCCCTTCTGTTTCTTGGGCTTCACTTTCTTGTTGGTCTCAAGCTGGGGCAGAGCCGCATAAGGCGGCGTCGCCTCCGACACAAGACCTGCAGTGTCTGGATCGATTTCGCTCTCTCTGCTCCTCCTTCTTGCGTCAGCGGCCAAAGGTGGTCGCAAGCGAGGCTCTGGGAGTAGACGGGCCTCCAGACCCTCGAGTCGGGCGTCCAGCATGGACCCGACTGCTCGCATGATTATCTGCAGGTGTCGCTCGTCGTCTTCGTTTGGCAGTGTTGGGGCGGGAGTGAGCTGCGCTGTCGTCTGAGCGAGGCGCACCATTTTCGCTCTTACGTCCTCTACTTCCTTCCTGAGCTGCAGGATCTCCGCCTCCTGTCTCTCGCTGAGTGCCTGCAGCCTCAGGGTTTCCTCGTTGGAGGATCTGGAAGCTAGATCTTCCTTGGCCTCCTTTATTGTTGTGGCCATCTCCTTAAGGGCTTTGATGTACGTCCCCTTCGGGTTGCGCGCTTTCGCCGCGATGGTAAGGGCCATCTGGGCGGTCTCCTGGAGCCTAGTCGCGGGATCTGCTGTTATGTTCCCGGATATTAAATGTACTGCGCGCCTCTTCTCACGTAGGTTGTGCACGATTTCCACTACCTCCTGTTCAGCGCGAAGCTCCAGCTCTTCACGTTGAGCTTTTAAGTATGCCTGCTTCGCCGCCGCCAATCCCACGTATTGGCCGGTCGTTGGAGGACGACCTCGGCCTCTCTTCGATGGTCTGGTCCTGGACACCAACGATCCTGACCTAGACGCCTCCGATTCGGTACTGCTGTCGGAGCTTGCGTTCTTCGAGCCTTTTGCCCTTTTGCGCGTCGTTCTCTTTGGTGATGAACAGCAGGAGCTGACCACCATGCTGTCCTCCGAGCAAACGCTGCTTTCTCTCCTGCGGTCTTCGTTTTGCACCGTTTCTCTTTCGTCCCTTGTGGACCTCTTCCTTTTCTCCCCGTCCTTCTCGGACTCTTTCCCGGAACAGCTTGTGCCCCCCCCAGAATACGAGGGGCAGCGTGCGGCCGATTTCTCGACCGCACGGAGGGATTCTCCTCCCGCAGAGCAAGAGGTACCCTCCTGGGGTAATAACTTTTTCAGGCTGGACATGCTCATGCTTTTTTATTTTTATTTACCTAGGGTGCGGTCCCCTAGGACGCCCTCGAGACTGGTCTCCCACCAGCCATTCGTCCCGTTGCCGGGCGTCAAAACTTGGGATTGGGTGAGAATAAAGAAAGAAAGAAGTGGAAAATATAACAAAATCTAACATAAAAATGTAACCAACAGTACAAGAGTGAAGATAGTAAACAAACAAAACACAAAGAACAAAATAATAACGAAGATAAGGACAGACAAACTCAACATAAATTAAATCAAAAATATAAAGAAAACAAAAAGACAGTAAAAACAAACTCAAAATAATAAGGAAGAAGTCGGGGGCCCGGGCATCCCCGGAAGAAACACCCTTCAACTAGGTGAAGGGCGCAGAGAGCCCAGAACCCCCCCTGCTGGTTTTGGTCCACGTCGCTCAATCTCTCCCGCCATAACACAACGAGAGAGAAGGAGCGATACCCCTGGGAGTATGACTGCTCCCAGAGGCCCGTTATCCGCCACCCACAGACGCACCCACGGCACGCAGAGTGCGCATCGGGGGCCCGTCCAGGTCCCGGGAGCAATCACGTACCTAACTAGTACACGTTCATGAACGAGATCAATAATTAATAAAAATATAAATAAAAAAAACAAATTAATAAATTTATATGATTACTAATATGGTTCAGCGTGCTTAAAGATCTTCTCAGTGGGTCCCGTTTCCGATCCGGTGGTAGATTCTGCGAAGCACGGCTCTTGTTAGAGTTCGTGTTAGCAACGTCATCACGTTTGAGCCCCGTGAGCTCACCTACTTGTTAAGGTTACGCTGAAATAGCCTCTTAAGGCTATCAGTTTAGGTAGGAAAAAAAAGGCCTGCTTAAAGGCCGCGTAAGATCGTCATGTATATGCAGATTTAAGTGTGAATGAACCTTTATACGGGAAACTCTACGGTTTAAATCCAGAAGTACCGTGAGCTTGAATTAGAAGACGAATAAGTTAAGCTGAGCTCATTTTGTAGTACCGATAGAAGTTTAAATTAGCTTCATCGTTGCACAAACTTACAATTCCCTGTTCAAACTTAGTCTAAATTTGCAAGGCAGTGGCGTTAATTACTAGGACCACATCAAACAGCTTCCCGTCGTGTCAGTACAATAGAACCGTTGTTCGCAGACTGGAAACACCGCTGATCCTAACCATCAACGCACCGAAACAGAATTCCGCTGTGCAACAGTTGTTCAACAGTGGAAGACCACCGCCGCCAGCCATCGAGCCACAGTTAATTACTTCCGAGACACTGAGGTAGGTTTAAGGGGAAACGCGACTGTCGTGAGATTCGAAATGAGAGATTGAGATTTGAATGATTTAAAAAATAAACTCGATATCTTCCGTGCAGCGCTAATTGCAGCCTCCGTCGGGGAGGATACTGATTTAAAAATATCTTTCTGATTTCAATATAGTTCAATCTGACTTTAGCTTTTGCCTTTCTTTTATATTAACGCGAAAAAAGTTTAGGAAACAAATGGTAGAGATGAAACCTTTGTCTTTCTAGTGTCACTTTTCAAGTATCGTATTAAAAGTTTTAAAACGGCGCTAAAGAAGTTTTTGCTTCAATATATTTGCTCTGTGTTGCCAACCAAGGCACAAACAGTTTCATAAAGATATTTAATCTGTGTACATAGCGTTTCCTTTTAATGGAGTATAGAATTACTTTTAAATGTTGCACTCATTTAAGACTTACAATGCATTAGAATAACAAAATATAACGCCAAAAATAAATCTGAATGTTTGGATATTAATACGTGAAGCAAAAACTTTGTATCCCTTTTTACGAAAATTGCGCCGACGGAGGAGTATGAAATTTTCCACACTTATAGAGAATATAGAGAAGAAGTGCACAACGCTAATATTTTTTTAAAATAATGCATAAAGATACATTAAATCGATAAAGAAAACATTACACACACTACGTACCATGTATTTGACGCATACACGCATGCATACTATTTATTGTCAAGCTTTTGTTCTTGGCGTCTGTTGACAAATTGAGAATAGATTAAATATTATTTGTCTTTGTTAATATTTTTTATAATGTAGTCTTGGAGAAATTTGTGATTATAAAAGTATAAAATACAATCATAATAGTGTACAAACTTACAATTCCAATCAATTATAGTCGAATTTCGACTACTACGTGACCTCTAGTTTAGTTAATTTCGTAGTTTCACCTATAAACGAATACAGCTAAATAGAAAATATTATTTCTTGAAACAAAAATGGAATGTCTATAAAATCAAAATCCGCATCGAAGAACATTCCGTTCGTTTATATTCAGTGAGACAGGGCTCCCCGCGGTGACGTCCTGAACATCAACAAGTTGCACTGCATCTGAACTTGTTTGCGTCACCTCGCTTCAATGTTATTACAGTATTATAGAGTTAGTTAAACAATTTAAGCCCGTTAAAGCAGACACTTTTGTTAATTGAGCGATTTAACAGAGCAGCCTGGAGCTTACTTAGCACTATTAAAGGATCGGAAAACTAATTTATATTTATCAACCGTCGAGCTTACTTAATCTGACTTTAACTGTTTACCGTAAAGATAGTATGTCGTGGATGTTTTCTGGGGAGATTACGAATAATCAATTCTTCTTAGGGCAATGACCTCTTAGTCTTTTATCGTTAGTTGGAGTCATTAGCGGCTACAATGAAATTGGCGTCTCATCTAGAAACTCAAGATCGAAATTTCCAGTACATTGCATTAATGACTATCCTAGCGTTCAAACCTGATTTTGTTTGTTTCCCTTTGCGTAAAACACAGGAATGACTCTGTTACCAAAACACACAGCCTTACGTACATCAGCTACTACTTGAAATTTAAGTTCAAGGGAATGGTATGTTAAGCCGTATTGCTGAAGCAGGATGAAATTGTGGTGCGATCGCAACCTCTGACATCAAAATTAGGTACAGCGCAAATAAATTTCATTTTATTTGGGGTAGTTTAGAAGTAGGTATCGCTCGCGCTGTACTAGGACATGCAATTATAATATTATATTAGAGCGTGGGATGCCGGTGCCAGGCCAAAGTCGGAGGAAGCAGCCGTGAGACGCGTAGCTGAAAGGAATGCTCTGCGGTGCTCCTTGCTGCGAAGCGAGGCCAGGAAGAAACAACAGCCTAAGGTACGGTCCTAACTAATATACTACACAACGTTTTCTTTAATTCTCATATAGATGAACAATTGCTTAATACAAAGTCAAATACAACACACAATAAAAAACATTCAAGTCGTCGTGGCCTAACGGATAAGACGTCCTATGCATTTGTGTTGAGCGATGCACCAATGATAATTATTCGAATCTCAGGCGGGTACCAATTTTTCTAATGAAATACGTACTCAACAAACGTTCACGATTGACTTCCACGGTGAAGGAATAACATCGTGTAATAAAAATCAAACCCCCAAAATTATAATTTGCGTAATTACTGGTGGTAAGACCTCTTGTGAGGCCGTGCGGGTGGGCACCTCCACCCCCCCTGTTTCTGCCATGAAGCAGTAATGCGTTTCGGTTTGAAGGGTGGGGCAGCCGTTGTAACTATACTTGAGACCTTAGAGCTTATATCTCAAGGTGGGTGGCGCATTTACGCTGTGGATGTCTATGGGCTCCAGTAACCACTTAACACCAGGTGGGCTGTGAGCTCGTCCACCCATTTAAGCATTAAAAAAAAACAAAAAAAAACATCCCGATTACATTTGTAGAAGAATCAATAGTGTACCTAAGCAAATTTCTAATGATATAAAGCTTCTTCTTCATGTGCCATCTTCTAAGGAAGGTCGGCCGTTGTAAAAGTGACTTGAGCTTCAGTTTTGTTAGATATCAGATATAATATAGCAGAATAGATCTAAACGAAATAAGGATGCTTTTGTCAAACCATTGTATCAGAGTTTTCAATCACGATGCCCTCATACTCTTTAAAACATTATATTATAATATACATACTACTAGTATTTAATATTAAAACATATTTAGATCTTTGCTTAGAAGTTAAAATGAAAGATTCAGTAACAAGTTATATTATAATATAAAAACGATTACAATCTCTGAGAAATTCGCTCAAAGGTGCACTTCAAGATATTTTCACATTCAAAGTAAAACTAAATAAACTAAAACCAATTAATTTATTAAAATGATTACATATTTCAAAAGCATTTAATTTGTTTCAAAACGTTTTTAAACTAGCGCAACTCTTGAAGAACCCAGACAAGGTTTCTGGAGCTATCTAAAGATCCACTTTCAAGTAAATTTAAAGTTGGAGATTGTTTTTACTTGAAATTACGAGAAACAACGCATTTCGAGCTTGTAAACCAGGCGGAGAACTGATGTAGTTTGTTTTTAGAGCTTAATCCGTTTTGGTGAAATTTGTCTGCATTTTTTTTAAAGTTAAACACCATCGGTTTGAGTTAAATGTTTTATTCAATTAAATTGTGAATTAGTATATGCCTGGACAGTGGACAGTTCATACTCTACTACTGCTTCTGAAAACAGATCAAAAATCGGTTACATGTCAGCGTCAATAGTATCAATAGTCATATAAGTTTCGGCATTATTAATATATGGGCTAGATAACCGGGCTTATTAATTGGTAGTCCGATCCCACGGACAACAAAACCTGAATGCCATTGTTCACAAAGTAGAAGGAGTTTTGTTACAGAAAGCATGATTACTCAGAGCAATAGGTAGAATAATCGTAGCCAACAAATGTAAGCCATAGAAAATTTGTTACACTGTAGAAAGGTAAAAGAAATAGGGTAGGTACCGCGCGATAATTATCATGAAATTTATATAACTGCATAATGTTTGAATAGACGCGAATGTAAAAGACGAGGATACAATGAAATCTGATAATTATATTATGAAGGGAACATACAACCATTAGCAACGAACAACAAAAGAAAAAAACAAGTGGATCGGATCATAAGCCGTGGCTTTGCCGGCTAATACGATTACTGGATAGTAAATTGTTTTATGTTTGTAGATTTCTGTTACGAGCGAAGACAATATCTTGTCTTGTAGTAAAATAAAAGAGTGGAGTAGTACTATAGTTAATACAATAGTAAGACTGTATTTAATAAAACATATTCTTAAAATCGATGAGTATGAAGAAATGGATTGACGTAATCGTTTAAATATTTATTCTTTCGAACCCGTTAACCGACTGACTGAAAAGTTACATCAACCATTAAAGAAGATTCTAAGGCGACAGAAAAAAATTACAACCGAATGAACAACATTTTATGATTTTGATACTAAAAGGAGATTTCACAGACAAAAAAGCTACTGTGTCGTTTCCAAAAACTAGCAATATGATATCACATTAAGTTAATGGGTGCAGGCAGCGCAGGCGGTCCTGCGCTGCCTGCACATCTTTGTGGTGAGGCTTGGGGCTATGACCAGCAGTGAACGTCTTTGGGCTGATAGAATAAAAAAGTTAATATATTTTAACACATTATTTTGTGTCATTTTTACATATTATTGTGTCTTATCTATGAGCCTACTCAAAACAAATTAATGCTTCCCTATATTCGTTGATAGTGAATTCGATTTAGTGTAAACATTTTACATTATGTCTTGCAATTGATGTTTAGCTTGACGTGAAAATATACGAGGATCACTATCCAAGTAGTCTATTTAGTTATTTAAACTATATTGCTCGATAACCTTTTGAAAAAAAAACAGCAAGGGAGTGCTAATTTTAATTTGAATTAAGATCCATTACAACTACTATAAAAATAAAAATAAAACACGTGTGGCACTCGGGCACTGCCTACATAGCATTTTTTATCAACTTATGCAATTATAATTAAACAATAATAATTTAATGTTAAAACAATAGTAAAATAAGGCCAAGGTATATTTATAAACATTAACAAAAGCATAACATTTACTGTCTCCTCCTTCACATTCATAAGGTAGACCGCGCGAGAGAGAAATGGGCAGACTTTTCATGCGTATGCATTGCGACGTCACGCCGCGCGCTTATTCACAAATACTACACGAGCGCAACGAGTGAATGTATTGAACGCACATGGTAGGCGGAGTGGGGGTGTTAGGTTTTATTTTCGTTACGGAAATTTTTGGTTCGGTCGCCGCGCTCATAGCCCGCGATTTCCTATTTAGCTTATTCGTCAACGATATTCCCCGGTCGCCGCCGACCCATTTAGCTTTATTCGCCGACGACACGACTGTTTACTATTCTAGTAGAAATAAGTCCCTAATCGCGAAGAAGCTTCAGAGCGCAGCCCTAGCCCTAGGACAGTGGTTCCGAAAATGGCGCATAGACATCAACCCAGCGAAAAGTACTGCGGTGCTATTTCAGAGGGGAAGCTCCACACGGATTTCCTCCCGGATTAGGAGGAGGAATCTCACACCCCCGATTACTCTCTTTAGACAACCCATACCCTGGGCCAGGAAGGTCAAGTACCTGGGCGTTACCCTGGATGCATCGATGACATTCCGCCCGCATATAAAATCAGTCCGTGACCGTGCCGCGTTTATTCTCGGTAGACTCTACCCCATGATCTGTAAGCGGAGTAAAATGTCCCTTCGGAACAAGGTGACACTTTACAAAACTTGCATAAGGCCCGTCATGACTTACGCGAGTGTGGTGTTCGCTCACGCGGCCCGCACACACATAGACACCCTCCAATCCCTACAATCCCGCTTTTGCAGGTTAGCTGTCGGGGCTCCGTGGTTCGTGAG